TAGCAGTCCAGTCCTTTAGGTGTACTATAGCTTAATGAGCGTGCAGTTAATTTCTCTCAGGATAATCATTTTATTGGATTACTGGACCTGTCTATGTCAAATGTTTTACTGTAACATGGGTGACTGTGAATGGTGGCACTGGGACACATGACATAGGCCAACTCCTGCCTTGTAACCATGTACTATATGCTCACTGCGAGTTAAACAATATGGAGAATGGAGAAGAGATAAGTAAATGATAACTGAAAAAATAATATTTGAGAATGGTCATGTTTAGCTAGCCATGTTTTTATCCAAGCACCCTTGCTCCTTTTGGCTAAAATGTTACAGTTGTATGCTTCTCAGAAATACACATGATAACGCACATATTACAATCTAAGGATCGACCCACTCACTGGTCTGTTTTGTTGTCCTTGTGAGGTCACTAGTCCAAGGTGGTGAAAGGTCAGCCAATGAGAGGAGTTTCTACTGTAACTGTCTCCCGTGTTGATATGTAATGAAGGTTATTTATATATCAAGAGGCATGCATGCTAGTGTGGGTCTTGAACAATTATGTATATGTATATGTCTGGTTTTGACTGGTTTTACTGGTTTCTAACCACACACTGTATTGTGACTGAGTCTCTGTGGCTGTCGTCACAGTAAATCAACATTTCAGAGTGACAGATATATGATGATTGACAGGTTGTCTGTGGCATTGCGTTCATACAATTGGTCCATGGGCTACTTTTGAATCAGACCCAAAAGCCCACCCCATACTGGCCTGATGCCAGAAATAAACGCTCCCTTTATTTTCTATGGGATAAAATAGTGCCTTTACCAAGTAGATATTAAATCCAATAACAAAGGCCGTCAACATACGCCTCCTATAGTGCCCAGTGCTCATCCCTAAGCTGCTCCTATCCAGGGAAACCATTTGAGGAAATAACTAGGTCTACCCCCACCTGGTCATATATGTGGGGGAGGTGGGGCTATTTCTAGTGGTGGGAGAATGCTGGGGGGGTCACAAGTAGGACCTTAGTCGCATGATCTCATGGCAACACAGCACTTCTCATAAAACAATAGTCTACTGTGTGTGTGTGTGTGTGTGTGTGTGTGTGTGTGTGTGTGTGTGTGTGTGTGTGTGTGTGTGTGTGTGTGTGTGTGTCTTTCAGGGCACCAACATGAAGGCCCAGGTTACAAGGTCAAAACACACCCCAGACCCCTAACCATAACTCTTAGCAGGGGGCAGGAGAGAAACAAATACCATGCATCGCATGTGGCCAGTTGTCGCCCTCTAACACAAGAGGTCAAGGCTTTATGTACTTCTTGGTCCAAAGGGCCCTGAGTAATAAAGTCATGAAAGAGCTAATAATCTCCTAGCCTGGTCAACCCGACTGATATAAAACAATGGTGAGGTCAGCGGTTAGTCTGGTTTACGAGGCTAACAACCTCCAGGTCAACATGATCTAATATTAGAGCTTCTGTAAGGAAGACAATGCAAAACATTTCTGTTTCTACTTTTGTGGCGTTAAAACGTTGTGTCGGTATCTGTATCAGACTGAGTATGTTTGTTTGTCTATCTGGTGCACCTTCTCCAGTTAGTGTAGCAAACTGCTGTTGGGCCGCAGGTTTATCAGTGACTGGAGTTCATGTTCATCCAGTTGAATTGGGGCCAGCTGTGCAGTAAAGCAGTTCAGTAATGTAATATAAACTAAAGTAAGGGGATCGATGAGGCTGTAAGATTAAAATACGCACCTCCCCCCCCCCCCCCCACAGCTTCAAGTTCCTCGGTGTCCACATCACTAAGGAATTAATATGGTTCACACACACCTACACAGCTGTGAAGAGGGCACGACAGCACCTCTCCCTCCTCAGGAGGTTGAAAAGATTTGGCATGGGCCCGCAGATCCTCAAAAAGGTATACAGCTGCACCATTGAGAGCATCTTGACTGGCTGCATCACCGCTTGGTACGGCAACTGCAAGGCACCTGATCGCAAGGCACTACAGAGGGTGGTGAGTAAGGCCCAGTACATCCTGCCATCCAGGACCTCTATACCAGGCGGTGTCCGAGGAAGCCCCAAAAATTGTCAAAGACTCCAGCCACTCAAGCCATAGACTGTTGTCTCTGCTACCGCACGGTAAGCGGTACCAGTGCACCAAGTCTGTAACCAACAGGACCCTGAACAGCTTCTACCCCCAAGCCATGAGACTGATAAACAAGACTGCTAAATACAGTTGAAGTCGGAAGTTTACATACACCTTAGCCAAATCAATTTAAACTCAGTTTTTGGCAAAAGAGCTGATCTGATTTGTCAAAAGACCAATTAGTGGATAAAGATCAGAATTCCTCCCTTTACTTGTTATCATTTGAATAGTCTCTTCTTCCACCAGCCTCCATGTCTACTGTGGGTGAAATAGGCTACTGTTCCATGAGTACGTCTGGAAAGACAGACTATCATCTGATTCTAAATCTTGTCTTCTCGTCAGTAATTGAATGGCCACTAGGGGGCACCTACCCCATTCAATAGACATGCTGTGGACTCCCCTCCTTCAACACCATTCAAACCATCACTTTCTTTTTTGGTCATCTCCTTCTGAACAACTTCCTCTGGTCTGTGGTTGTCAATGAGACTTGGAAACCAGGTTACAGTAACTGTGGTCAATGAGGGTCAGTATGGAATAGAGTCTGTTGTGACTGTGGTTTACCACTGTGTAAAGACTTACTTCATTGACAGGCTATGAGGACAATAGTTTTACTTTAGGAACATCAGGGTTGGGATCAATTCCATTTTAATTCAGTCAGTAAACTGAAATTCAAATTTCCTCATTGACCTGACAGAATTCAATTAACTTAATTGGATGGAGTCGTGCCCAATCCTGAGGGATATATTCTCTGGTTATTGAAAACTGAGCAGTTGTAACTGTGCTGCTTCCTTCCCTCTCCTTGTCCCAACCTGGGCTCGAAATAGTGACCCTCTGAACACATCAACAACCGTCGCTCCACAAAAGTCACGGCCCTTGCAGAGCAAGGGAAACAACTACTTCAAGGTCTCAGAGTGAGGGACGTCACCGATTCAACACTACTTGCCCACACCGTTAACTAGCTAACCATTTCACATTGGTTACACAGTTACATTAGATGGTTATTTGGGTTTGTTAAAGTCTGTCCTACATTTATATCGGTTAAAACAGTCATTGTATGTCTTTATATGACTATTGTCCACTCCCATTGCTACTGAGTCTCTGAAACGTCCTTTGAAGGCCTGCTGGGGGTCCGTAAAGGCTTTAAGTTGTCACTTGTCTCTGGTTGGTTGGCTGTAACACTGTGTATGACAGACAGACAGACAGACAGACAGACGGACGGACGGACGGACAGACAGACAGACAAAGGGCCAAATCTCCATTATGGCTGATGCACCAGACCTTATTTATAGTGGCCTCCAACATGCCTTTCTCTGCAGACGCACCATCAACCTGTCTTCCAGTTGTCCAACTATAGACCAGGGCTCTGCCAACCAGCTATAAATTATCAGAGGCCAAATGAGACTCTTGAGTGTGTGTGTGTGTGTGCACGTGTGCACGTGTGCACGTGTGTGTGTTTGTGCTTTTCAGTTCCACATTGGTTTGTAAGGGTGACAATGTCTCCTAAAAAGGCCTGAGGTCTTGAAGGTATTTGATGGCATGGGTCCTGCGCTCTCCTATTTAAATTCAGAGAACAGGTGAGCCAGGCGCATTCTCCTCTCACTCACTCTCTCAAGGGACTGTAACACACCGGCTCCTGTCCAGCTCTCCAGGGTAAGTCCTGCACACATACAATTCTCTGTTTCAATGGGATTATGTTATTATCGTAAAAGTAATTTATCACATAGTATTACATTTACGTTAGTCATTTAGCAGACGCTGTTCTCTTATCCAAAGAGACTTACGATCAGTGGCTTATCATAATTACACCACATGACCATGTGATCTATACATTGAAAGTATACTTAAATATTGAACACACAGGATGTTACATGCATGATTGTACAAGAGAAAAAGAGCCATGAAAGCATTTTCTGACAGATTATGTTATTATATAACATCAAGTGATCTCACAAACACACTGCTAATGTGGATAGAAATGCAATACAAGTCCTTGTTTTAATAGATTCTTAATAACTGCTTTTGACTGTGCTTTAGGCTGTTGGTTAGGACCACCACATAAATACTGTTTTGCACATTACAATAATGAAACAATTAGTCAATGAAATCATTGGTCAGTCAACTAAAAGTGAGTTATGGGTCCAGCATGGCATATGAGAACAAACAACCAGAACAGAACAGAACACAGAGAGAGAGAGAGAGAGAGAGAGAGAGAGAGAGAGAGAGAGAGAGAGAGAGAGAGAGAGAGAGAGAGAGAGAGAGAGAGAGAGAGAATGAGACCACAATGTGAAGGGCAGCTACTGCTAAGGACACGCTCCGGAACTTTGGCGACTACTAAGTATTTTTTTAACCTCCCGCTTTGGCCTGGATGTGTCAATGTGTAGTTCATACATGCATAATCTATCAGCAGAATTACTGTCTTACCTCAATTAGCCACAAAATTATTAGTTTGAAAGCGACTGTTTTTCTGGAAGCTGTGCTTCGCCATTTTACCCCATGTGAGCCTAGTAATTCAATTTAAACCAATGAGCTTCAGCCCCTTGCATATTTTGAGTGACAGCTAGCAAGACGCACACAGCAGCGTGCGAGAGAGAGCAATGACGTGGTGCACATATCTGCACATGTGATGCAGTACGCAATTATCGGGGACCACTTTTGGCTCGTGAGCGCTACTTTCAGAATTACGGACTAAAACGTATACAAGTACCAGAGAATCGCTTTAATGCGGTAATACTTCATTTTGTTACTACCATATGCCATGTGTGAAACACATTGCGCTCTGACACACCTGACAACTGGTCTATTGTTTGGTGTGTGTGTGTGTGTGTGTGTGTGTGCGTGCGTGTGTGTAGGTCCACAGTAACCGGACTCAACCATGTGTGACGAGGAAGAGACAACAGCCTTGGTATGCGACAACGGCTCAGGACTAGTGAAGGCTGGCTTTGCCGGTGACGATGCCCCCAGGGCAGTGTTCCCATCTATTGTGGGGCGCCCCCGTCATCAGGTCAGTCCCCCCATCTTACCCCCTGCTACCCTTCCATGTCAGTCAGATGGTCATTCCTGAAATAGAGCCGCAACACTATTGTTAGTCGTCATTGCACCTACAGTATGGCTAACCTGGCCCCAGATCTGTTTGTGCTCTTGCCAACTACATTGCTGTCATTACCAAGCCAAACATGGCGTGACGACGAGTGACAAGGAGTTGGCATGATGGCCCAAACAGACTGGCACTCAGGCTACGGTACGGGCAAGTTTCCTGAACCCAGATGAAGCCTAGTCCCGGACTAAAAAAAAACTTTCAATGGAGATTCTCTATTGAGCATGCTTTTTAGTTTAGCAGGCTTAATCTGGGTCCGGGAAACCAGACCCTGCGTGTGTCATTTGCAGATCTGTTTTAGAAATCAATATGTGTCTGTTGCTGTTCACGTTCACATCTGGACGACAGGAGGCTGCTGAGGGGAGAATGGCTCATAATATTGTCTGGAACGGAGCAAATGGAAAGGCATCAAACACCTGGAGACCATGTGTTTGATGTATTTGATGCCATTCTGCTCCAGTCATTACCAGGAGCCCGTTCTCCCTCATGTGACCTGTATCTACTGTTCATGTGAATGAGCCTTGCCTGTCTGCCTCTTCCCCAGGGTGTGATGGTGGGTATGGGTCAGAAAGATTCCTATGTGGGAGACGAGGCCCAGAGCAAAAGAGGTATCCTGACCCTCAAGTACCCCATTGAGCACGGCATCATCACTAACTGGGACGACATGGAGAAGATCTGGCATCACACCTTCTACAATGAGCTGCGTGTGGCCCCTGAGGAGCACCCTGTCCTGCTCACTGAGGCCCCCCTAAACCCAAAAGCCAACAGGGAGAAGATGACCCAGGTGGGTCACCTGCCTTAATTAACCCAATTGCCTGGCTGTCAATCTTATAGTTTATGCTGTTGAGCATTACAATATAACTAATGTTGATTGATTATATTATTATATTTGCGTCATATTATTATTAGGTGCACTGCCAAATAATGGATTTCTGAGCCTGTTTTCTAACACTGTGGGGTTTTCTTCCTGGCAGATCATGTTTGAGACCTTCAACGTGCCAGCTATGTACGTGGCCATCCAGGCTGTTCTGTCTCTGTACGCCTCTGGTCGTACCACAGGTAAGTGCTCATCCTAACACAAAATTGAATACAGTAAAAAAGGGACTTTTTATACATATATTTTAGACTATGTGGCACCAGCAGGAATGAAAACCCCACAACCCTGTGATGCTCGTCAGTGCGTCTGTACTAATGTGTCTGTGTCACCTGTGCAGGTATTGTGCTGGACGCTGGTGATGGTGTGACCCACAACGTGCCCGTGTATGAGGGTTACGCCTTGCCCCATGCCATCATGAGGCTGGACTTGGCTGGCAGAGACCTGACTGATTATCTGATGAAGATCCTCACTGAGAGAGGATACTCTTTCGTTACCACCGGTAACCATGGAGACCTTTTAGATACAACCAAATTCATCTAGAACTATATCTTTATTTTGTACTTTCTGATAGTATCATAATAATATCACCTTTCACCCAATGTATATGTTGTGTCAACACCTGATTCTATTTGGGGGTTTTTGCACCTTGTCACTTTTGTTGATCGCTCATTATCTTACAGTGTATCTTATTGGCAAAATAGAGTAACTGCAGTCCTTTATGATCTTCCTAGTGTAGTACCTGTGTTTGTAGAAGAGGCTGATCAGTGTAGTTATAATTGACACATAGCTTAAGGTTCCCCTACAGTTACCGTTTGATCCTTTATGCCTGTCTACGGTTGTGAGTGGGTGACACGCTGATAAAGGCAACATGATCTCACAAACTCACTGCTATATTTGAATCCCACAGCTGAGAGAGAGATTGTCCGTGACATCAAGGAGAAGCTGTGCTACGTGGCTCTGGACTTTGAGAATGAGATGGCCACCGCTGCCTCCTCCTCCTCTCTGGAGAAGTCCTACGAGTTGCCCGACGGCCAGGTCATCACCATCGGTAACGAGAGGTTCCGTTGCCCAGAGACCCTCTTCCAGCCCTCCTTCATCGGTCAGTACAAATCCTTACAAGTTCACAATGTTCTATAGCCTGGTCCCAGATCAGTTTGTCTTGCCAACTCCTATATGGCCGTTGTCAAGGCAGCACAAACAGATCTGGGACCAGGCTAGATGTTCTGTGCTGCAGCACAAGTAATGTATATAAGATTATGCAGGACAGGAGGAAGTAAAAGTCACCACATGGATCATTCATTAAGGATATGTATTGATATAATTTTCACAACAGTACTTTATGTGTCATTATTTCATTGTCTTTTATATCTTGCTTATGAAGTTTGGGGTTTGGGTTAATCCTTTCTTTTCCCACGGAGGCCTCACTACAGACAACAAGGCTCAGAATCCATTGCTCTGTTTCTCCATAGGTATGCAGTTGAGAATATGGGTGTAAAGACTGTTATTTGTTATTCCAAATAGGTATGGAGTCTGCTGGTATCCATGAGACCACATACAATGGCATCATGAAGTGCGACATTGACATCCGTAAGGACCTGTACGCCAACAACGTCTTGTCCGGCGGTACCACCATGTACCCTGGTATCGGTGACCGCATGCAGAAGGAGATCACAGCCCTGGCCCCCAGCACTATGAAAATCAAGGTATGGATAATATATGCATCTTATTCTCTTTGATAATTACACCCACCTAATCTTACCACCATCCAATTACTGAGAGTCAATTATTGAACAGTGATGAACCTGAAAGTGGTTTCAAAGTACCCTTGGTGAAGCAAAGCTAGTAAGTATAGACACTTGATTTGCATTTAAAAAAACACACTTGACTCGGTCCTAACCACAGACTATTGCTTCCTGTAGATGATTGCCCCCCCTGAGCGTAAGTACTCTGTCTGGATCGGCGGCTCCATCCTGGCCTCCCTCTCCACCTTCCAGGCCATGTGGATCAGCAAAGATGAGTACGAGGAGGCTGGGCCCTCAATCGTTCACAGGAAGTGCTTCTAAATGACCCTCTCCTCCCATCTCAACCCTCTTCCTGCCCCAAAATCATGTCTCTAATCCCCACAAATGACCCCATTGTATTTGTTTACTATTTGTGCAATGTTCCCTAACACAATCTGTATTATGGGTCATCGGACTATCAGGATATTGCTAAATAAATTAATTCTGCCTTTTGACTTCCCTGTGCGGTTGCCTATGTGACCTTATGAAAAGTAATATAATCGAGTTCATCAAAAGTAGTTTGACAAAAGGACTTCTTCCAGGACAGTTTTGCACAATCACAACTCTATGGTGTTAATAGATGTCACAGAGAATGGAGAGTAACTGAATTTCCATTCCACTAATTAGACGTCTGGGATAGGCTTATATATTATTTACACATATGACATTTGACATTTTCTGTTGAAAGCTCTTTCAAACATAAAAAAAAATGTTAATTTACTTCCATTATTATCTGAGTGGACTCCATACATTTACATTACAACCACACATCAAATGAAGTGATTTGGGTTTGATGTTTAGTTTGATGTAGATTAGGTCCTAGCTGAAATGTACTGTAATGTGATGAGACACCCACTGGGTGGCAGAAGTTAGTCTTTTCAGGGCGGTGAAGTCACTCAATACAACCCGTTCAATAAGCTCTTGGGCGTTGTTTGCACACTAGCTATATGACGGCAAACACAGTCAAATAGGTTGCAGGCAACACATACATCAACACACAGAGAAGATTATTTCATCTGTACTACAGGTTAGATAATATTTGGAGCCACAGCCAAATGTAGTAGCAGTGTAGACATGCACTGTGGTCTATCCTCCCGATATGAGCAGAAAACATACCATTACAATCTAGGACTGAGGCAGTACGTACCATAGACGTTTCTCTCTAACGACACCCTACAGCTAAATGTTATATTTCCTGTTGAAAAGGGAGCGGGAATGTCTTGTCTGCTTCTTCAAGTGATACCAGGGAACACAAGAGCATCTTGATTATCTGACTTGGGTTGCGTCTGAAACCCTGTTCCCTATATAGTGCACCACTTTCGACCATAGCCTAGTGCACTACTTTTGAGCAGAGCCCTGGTCAAAAGTAGTGCACTATATAGGGAATAGGGTGCCATTTGTGACTCAAACTTTGTGTTCTTCACATGGAACTGTCCAGTGAATTTGTACTTCACCTGGGGAAAAATGTCCTTCCTTGAGACAAAAAGTCCACAGAGTCCACAGAGATTTTTAATTTATAGACATGAATAGATTTGCAATTCTTTGTTGAAAGCAGAAATTTCGCTACACCAGAAATAACATCTGCTAAATATGTGTATGCGACCAATAACATTTGATTTGATTGTTATGTAAATAATTTGATTGGTCTAGCAAGCTGTCGGAAAGAGAAAATAAGAGATAAGTATGTTGCTGCACTTCATTTCACAGTACAAAATATAATTAATTGGTTATTACTGTGGCGGTACCATGTACTTTTTGAATAAATACCGGTTAAGTTTTGTATAGAATGTACTTCTGTACTATAATATCTCTAGACTAACCTATTGACTTTTACATATTTGTGCGGTTGACAAGGGCCACAATGTCACGAGTATAGGCACAACTGACCAAAAAATTCGGACCCAATAGAAGAATGGGGAAACAACATATTTAGCTGTTTGTCTTTCTTTAAGCAACCAGACAGACATGCAATTCCTTCACCTGTATGCTTGGTATAATACAACTCAGGCATACTTCTTAGTTTCTTGCTCTGTGAGTGGTTGTGATTTCTCATGGAGCAAGCTACTGTAACATACGGTTCTGATGCCAAACTTAGTTCTGCAGCCAGCCAGCTAGCCCAGCAGCCTCTGACCCACTTCTGTCTCGCCTCTCCTCTCCAGGCTGGGTAGAGGAGTCAAAGATAAATGCAGGTGGAGGTATCAGGGAGGGGGGGGGGGGGGGGGGATGATATATTTTCCTCCGACCACAACATCTCTCTCACGGGAAGGAAGGAAGGAAGGAAGGAAGGAAGGAAGGAAGGAAGGAAGGAAGGAAGGAAGGAAGGAGGGAATCACACAGGAAGAGAGAGGGACTACAGAGGCGGATGTAGGCTACAGAAGATGACACCTTTCCAATCGGGTTGGGTGTACAGTAGCCTACATACAGTGGGGAAAAAAAGTATTTAGTCAGCCACAAATTTTGCAAGTTCTCCCACTTAAAAAAATGAGAGAGGCCTGTAGTTTTCATCATAGGTACACGTCAACTATGACAGACAAATTGAGAAAAAAAAAATCCAGAAAAAAATCCCATTGTAGGATTTTTAATGAATTTATTTGCAAATTATGGTGGAAAATAAGTATTTGGTCACCTACAAACAAGCAAGATTTCTGGCTCTCACAGACCTGGTAACTTCTTCTTTAAGAGGCTCCTCTGTCCTCCACTCGTTACCTGTATTAATGGCACCTGTTTGAACTTGTTATCAGTATAAAAGACACCTGTCCACAACCTCAAACAGCACACTCCAAATTTCACAATGGCCAAGACCAAAGAGCTGTCAAAGGACACCAGAAACTAAATTGTAGACCTGCACCAGGCTGGGAAGACTGAATCTGCAATAGGTAAGCAGCTTGGTTTGAAGAAATCAACTGTGGAAGCAATTATTAGGAAATGGAAGACATACAAGACCACTGATAATCTCCCTCGATCTGGGGCTCCACGCAAGATCTCACCCCGTGGGGTCAAAATGATCACAAGAACGGTGAGCAAAAATCCCAGAACCACACGGGGGGACCTAGTGAATGACCTGCAGAGAGCTGGGACCAAAGTAACAAAGCCAACCATCAGTAACACACTACGCCGCCAGGGACTCAAATCCTGCAATGCGAGACGTGTCCCCCTGCTTAAGCCAGTACATGTCCAGGCCCGTCTGAAGTGCATTTGGATGATCCAGAAGAGGATTGGGAGAATGTCATATGGTCAGATGAAACCAAAATATAACTTTTTGGTAAAAACTCAACTCGTCATGTTTGGAGGACAAAGAATGCTGAGTTGCATCCAAAGAACACCATACCTACTGTGAAGCATGTCGTTGGAAACATCATGCTTTGGGGCTGTTTTTCTGCAAAGGGACCAGGACGACTGATCCGTGTAAAGGAAAGAATGAATGGGGCCATGTATCGTGAGATTTTGAGTGAAACCCTCCTTCCATCAGCAAGGGCATTGAAGATGAAACGTGGCTGGGTCTTTCAGCATGACAATGATCCCAAACACACCGCCCGGGCAACGAAGGAGTGGCTTCGTAAGAAGCATTTCAAGGTCCTGGAGTGGCCTAGCCAGTCTCCAGATCTCAACCCCATAGAAAATCTTTGGAGGGAGTTGAAAGTCTGTGTTGCCCAGCGACAGCCCCAAAACATCACTGCTCTAGAGGAGATCTGCATGGAGGAATGGGCCAAAATACCAGCAACGGTGTGTGAAAACCTTGTGAAGACTTACAGAAAACGTTTGACCTGTGTCATTGCCAACAAACGGTATATACAGTTCCAATAATTTTCGACACATTTAAAATAAAAGTAGTGTTCTAGTGACGTGATATGAGTCATATGTTGCAAAATCTTGTATCTATGGTCGATCACCATTAAAATAAAATGACACTGTATGTAGTTCTATGCTGTATATGATTCATATGTTGCTTTGAATATTTATAATTGTTTACAAATATGTTATACTGTACATTTACAAAAATATATGTTTGCAGGGAATTCTCTTTGTGTTTGGTTCTATAATTCAAGCACCACTCATAAATATTGACCATTGTTTACAACTATGGTATAGGCCTAGACTAAGAAATAAAGCAGTATTTGTATTGATTTGAGATTAAAAGATAAGGTTGCAGGTAATATTCTTCACCAAGTATTACACTTAATGAATACTATTCCCAGCAGGTTCCTGATGAATATCTTATGATGTTGTTTTAGTTGTCTTTGTGTGTAAAACAAAATATGTGGGAATATAACTATTACAAAACGGATTATTATAAACTGTAGTTTAGCTGTGGTGTTAAGAAAGGTGCAATAAGACCCCTCCTCCACTGTGAACCCCTCTCTCTCTCTGCTCCCCCTCTCCTCTCCTCTCCTCTCCTCTCCTCTCCTCTCCTCTCCTCTCCTCTCCTCTCCTCTCCTCTCCTCTCCTCTCCTCTCCTCTCCTCTCCTCTGCTCCGTAATGTTCATTCCCCGCGATACCACGGGCGCGCGAGCTCAGCAGATGTAGGGCACACACCCCTTTCCATTTCTGAAAACGATACTTAAAACAGAGAGAAAAAATAACATTACAATCGGTTTTCCCGGTCCACGCAGCCTTCAAAGTTTCGGCAGTTTTTGGGTTCACTCCAAACGAAGGTGGAGACGTAGGCTAGAGGAGGAGAAAAGGGGAAGTCGCGTACCTCCGGCTCCAATCTCCCAAGGTAAGTGGTAAGCTATTGTTTTCTCCTCAGCGCTATATGTAAAAAAATAAAAAATAAAAAAAAGAATACGGGTCTAGTATATGGAATCAAAGTTCAAGTACAGAGTAAGGACATTTAAATATAATTTTGTATAGGCTATAGACTAGCCTATTGGTGTTTTGAATAGCATACCGTTTTCCCAGTCTCACTTCAAAATCATGGTAACTTGAAAAACTACAGTAATATTTATGATAATTAGTGGTTTCATTTGGGTAAGCTATAAGACAGGGATCGTCAACTAGATTCAGCCTCTGGACGATTTTTTCTTGAGTGGATGGTCAGTGGGCCAGAACATAATTACACATAATTTGAAGACTGCAAATTGACTGCAAGAACCCAAAAAGATAGGTATGTCATTTGACTAAAACCTAATCATGTCAAACCTTGTTTATGTGTGTATATGATTACATATGCGCTATTATGCGTGGGAATAATTTGGAACAGATATCCCACATTTTAATCACTTGGAGATGATTTGCTGGTGTTTTGATATATATATAGAGAGAGAGAAAGCTTAGAAAACTTG